GCTGCTTTTGCACCCTGTTCTCTGGAACCTACATCTTTATCTCTGACTTTTCCACTCCCAGTATTCACTTAAAGGAAAGAAATGTTAGCTGCAAAATAACCTCAGAGGAAAGACATGGTCCTGGTAACTAAACCTCACCATGCTTTGATTGGTCTCATATAAGTTTTAGTGCCAATAATCTGGGGAAATCTTAGAGAACCTTGAAATCTCTGCACAAGAAAGGAGAGGTCCTTGTGGCAAATGGCACCAAAAGCCATTGTTAAGAGGCAAAACAGAAAGATTGGAGTGAGATTTTAGTGATCCTTTCAGGCAGTTACTAGTAATTTACTATAGTCCCAATCAGAAGTTCATTGGCTTAGATCTCTAGTATCAATAAGTCAGTTTTTAGATGATCTATGAGGACTAGAGAACTAAAAGTGTGTCCCCAAGAAATGTGTATGTGGACAACAGGTAAGAATATCTGCAGTACTTGCCATAAAAACATCTGTGAGATTAATAGTAAATTTTAGAAACTATACATATGGATAAGATTACAAGGATTTGAAGGTAAAAAATAAAGCAACCAACTTCTAAATCAAATATATCCTAATCTTTTTTTCTTTCTAACCTCTGTTTTTCATCAATCTTTTGAGGTCACACAGCTGTGATTCAGGCGTTGGTGACAGAAATGAATCAGAGATGGCACAAGGGTCCAAAATTCTTGGCCAGTTTTATAAAAAATTGTTCATCTATCAAGGAAAGATGATGTAGTATTCTGATTCACTTATGGTGGCCCCAAAATTACTTAAGCAAAGCCTCCTATGTTCTTTCTGTTTCTTTATATAATATGTGCTGAAAAAAACATCAGTAGCAAGGTAAATTTACTTAGTTCTTTAGGTTTTCCCCAAAATGTCTGCGTGCTATCATACTATTTTCTATGATTTAGCCTTATAAATAAAATAATTCTCTCAGTTCAGGTTGAAAAAACAAGATCTCACATACCTAGGTAAAGAAGCAAAAATTATGGTATAAAACATCAATATTTTCTTGAGCCCCAATTATAGGTATATTTTCATACTGGCCATGTGTTAGGTCTCTCAAATGATGTCTACAAATCATGCCTCGAACTAAGTTAATTTTAATTCATTTTCACATAAGAAATCATTAGCCTAAGAGTGTGGGCATGACAGTCTTACTAATTTTGCTTCCATAGTAGCTCAGCTACATGTTTGTTCTGCTCCCAAAGCCTGTTTTGTTTGGAAAGTGACTGGGTTGTGGGGGTGCTATACTCATCAGTGCATTCAGCTGTTGGTGAGTTTAGTAGCAGAATGTGCTGTTAGGACAGGGGACCTGGTTGGAGGTGGGTCACTTGTGGTATGACCCAGAGGTATATTCTTGCTCTAGCTCCTCTCTTCTTCCTGAATGCCACGGCATGAGTACGTTTCCTCTACCATGTCCTTCTTCCATGCTGGTTCTTCCTTGGTGTCAACTAACCATGAACTGAATCCTCTAAAAACCGTAAACCAAAATAACCTCTCCTCTAGTAGATGTTGGGTACTGTGATAGGAAAGAGACTAATACAATGCCTTAAGTCGGTTGTTTAACTTTGAAGACTCACTTTCTTCTCTTGTAAAAGAGGAAAATAATGTTTACCTTACTGGTTGGTTATGAGAAATAAATGAGACAATGTGTCTTAAATGCTTAGCACAGAACCCATGCTAAGTGGCAGCTATTAGCATGATGCTAAATGCCCAGCGCTTGGTTGAGCAAATAAGCCTCACAGCTGAGAATAAAGAAATTACTGAGAATTAAGTAAGGGCTGGATATTGAAAGTTTAGAGAGTTGTCATTTAAATAAGTCCACCATCTTTCTACAGGATAGCTGGGAGAAGCCAGCCCAGTTCACAATGTAGTGAGGGAAAATGAGGATGATTAAGAAGGACAGGACTGGCAGGAGACACTTTGTTTTATAAAAGTGAAGTGCTGGTAAAGGAAAATCTTCTCATACCTCACCTAACTCACTTGTGGAAGCCAAAAAAGGAATGTTCTTTTGTTGAAGCCAAATGAGGGTGGCCTCAAGGTTTAGGGAGGCAATAAAAGCATACTCCACAGGTCTGTTTAGCCACTGCAGTTGCTGGAGAGAGATACTGAAATTTCCAAGAAATATAGAAGAGGAATTCCATAGAAACCGCACACCCTGAATGGGAATCATCACTCATGGACCAGAGGAGAATAGGAGGCCAGTGATGCTGGGGAGATCACAGGAAGAATCAGGGTCCCCTAAAAGAAGTGAGGGAGTTTTACAAGACAGGAAAATGTGTGAGGAGAAGGTCACTTTGAATAGAATATGACGGCGAAGCTCTGAAATGCATGATGATTCATAAGAACAAAATAAGGCAATTTTAATAACTGCAGAAAATCAAAGAATTATTTGTTGAACTAAAAACATTTTAAGTCTCAAATAGGATCAGTCTAAAAATGTGCTATCTCTCCTCTGATTTTATTTTGTCTATTTTATTACTTTGTGGAATTTCTATATGCTTAGGTCAGTGACTCTCAATTGTTTTATTATGATCCTCTTAGAACCCTTTATACATTTTTTTTCCTGACTGCCTCTTCCACCATGAAATCTAAGTCAGCTCTACCATGTTGTGTATCTCCTAATGCACCTCTACAAATAGATATGCTTTATACACTATAAAACTAATTTTTTTTTCACTGCTCAGCAACCAATTTCCATCCTTTTGGGGGCAATATTACCCTGTTTGGAAGGCAATATTACCCCTATGCAGTTCCCCCATGGGAACTGACAAAGAACAGTTCCCTAAGCAGAGTGAGCCCTCCTTTTTCCTCATTTGTAAAATTTAGAATTCAGTTCAATCCTGTGACTAGTCCTCATGCTCTAAGTGTTGTTTCTGGCCTGTAAAACATGGATGTTATTCCTAAAATGACAATTGCTATGTGTTCTTTTTTTTTTTTTTCTTTTGGTACCAGGGATCAAAGTCAGGATCTTGCACTTGTGATGCAGCCAAGGTGCCACTGAGCTAAATCCCCGGTCCTGCTATGTGTTCTTTACAGAGCACCTTCAATATGTAACATCTATGTTATCTATAGAAAAATGTTTTATGATGGACATTGTAATTTTCCTTGGATGATGAGGCATGAAACACATTTTTCATTTTGATTTTTAAAAATTTTATTATAAAATAAAAACAACATTTTATTGTAAGAAGAGAATTACTAAAATGTTAGAGCTGTGGGAACCCTGGGGTACACTGTTATGCAGACTTCTTGGGTCCCAGGACACAAATGGTACAATTGCTGCTGTTGGCTGTTTTCATTGGCTCGAAATACTCACCTGGCACCAACATTTCAGTTCCAACTGAACTGAACCAACAAACTAAGGGACTTTGCTTGAATTATTCATTATTTCTGAATCTTTATGATCTCACTTAGACAATGAACTACAGGGCTTTCCAAGATTTCTTTCTGTAAGAAAACTAAGAATCTAAGATTTTTTTTCCCCTTAGGTGCACAATGAATTTGTGCTATTATTTGAAGATAGTGTAAAGAATTGACATAGCATATTATTTCAGAAAGAAGGACATCCTCACTTTAGGAATAAAGACTACAAATAAGCCAGACTTTGTACTAGACAATGAACTGATTATTTTTCATATATTTTCCTAAATCAGCTGAAATCATTACCTTAGTTTTTTCAGTCTTTTTGGAAGCTTTTTTGGTCCTACCTTCAAAAACCACAATTAAAGTTCTTTCTGAATTGATTTCTTTACCACATGTGAAATTTGAGTTTTGGTGTACTACCTAACATTTTAATTCATAGTTTAACAATTGGAAATTTATTCTATTCCCTAATATTGCATGAAATCTCCATTATGAGAAGAATATTGGCAGTGATTTCTTCTGCTCCCTTCTGGATCCCATTTACCTCCGTGTATTCCTTAACATCTTTTTGACTGTAGGACTCAGGCCAGGGCTGGCTAATTCTTTGTCCTGATTTAGCACTGAATCATTTTGATTATTCTCTCATGTGTGTTCTTCGACTTAGAACATCGTCCTATAGCATTCTATGCAGAACTGCACATAGCACTATTCCCCAGTGAAATCTCATCAGTACTTCATGTGATGCCAAAGTAACATCAACACCATGAAATATGCTTCATAATAATCTTACTTGCTTTTCTTTCTCCATTGTCAAAGATCTTACAGATGGTTTGGTGAAAAGTCCACATTTATTCTCGCTGAGTACCCTCCACATTTCTGTTTGATATTGATTTTTAACTTTTCATTCCTAATCATGTTTTCTTATTCAAACAGCTTTGTTTTGAGAAGTGAGTAGAAACAATTTTCTCCAGATGAGAGGATGGTAGCTCTTTCCTGGGGAGTGGGAAGAAAAGATCCATCCCAGCCCACAGAGTCTCTTTTGCCTCCCTTCTGGTTTCCAGTGCTTTGGGGGAGGAAAGAGAAAGCTGACGGCGTCCTCCAGGCACAGCTGATGATGCCATCAGATCGGACTAAGCAATGATGCTCTCTCCATGCTGCTGTACACTTGAAGTGTGGCTATCGTGACTGAGGAAATGAATGTTTCATTTGATTTAATGTGTACTAATTTAAGCTGAAGTGTAGTCAGTGGCTACAGTATTCACAGTGCAGTCCTAGGAAGCAATGTAACTAGTCCTGCGGGCAAGAGACAGGTGAAAAGTTGCACACATATCTCTGCTTCCACTATCTTTTAACTGTGTTCCATGAGAATATTTCATATTTTACCTCACCTTAATAGCACAGGGATAGTCCTCATTCCTTCTCCTTAGGGCTGTTGTGACCAATAAGAGATAATCAGTGCCAAACACTGACATGGTGCCTTTTACAATACACACTCTACATGTTAAGCATTATTTAAATAATTTCTTTCAGAAATATGACTTGGATACTTGGCCTGGGAAATTGAAATAATGTATTCAGAACCTAAAGTTGAATTTCCCTTTCCGGTCTCTTTCACAGGGATAGCGTCAGCTAAAGAAGGACTGAAGCAGAAAATCCTTCTGGAGGGAACTTTGTAAATAAGGAACCTCAGCTTCCAGTTAATACTTACTCCCAAGGTTAGTGTTTATTCCCTCTCAACACTCTAATCTCAGCATTCTTCTTTCTTTTCATTTCATTTTATGTCTTACTAAATGTTTAAGAATGTGGAAGTTTGTCATAGGACACTTAATTGACAATGATCAAATTACTTCCAGTTATAATTTCATGTCCCTTATTAGGTATTTGTGGAAACCAAAGGATGTCTGTGGAGAAAACCAAATATCAGTTCCCTCAAATACATCCACCTCTGTAGGTCATTTTGGAAAAAAAACAACACTTGTGTTTGTACTTTCTGATTTATACTGTCAATCCCTCTTGCCACAAGGGAATAGAGCAATCATGGAGGACTTAATTGTGTTACTATGGATTACCTCAGAATAGTGTGACAACTGGGAAGGAAAACCTTTCTTACTGACAACTTGGTTATCTTTCATTTGATGCTTTCAAATATTACCTTAAAATTAAATTACATAAAGCTTGACTTTGGAAGCAGAACCGGAACTTAAGAAACGTTTACATTATGGTGGATCGTTACTTAATGCCAGTAGAAGAAGTGTTTTTAGTAGCTAATGGAAATTAAATTCATAATCAGTGAAATGTCAGCCCAATGTGCATTATTTTTTCCTCTTAAGAGATGCAGTAATAAGAAACAGATTTTGACTTTTTTGCTTCCCTTTTGCTTTTCATTTCTGTATGCTGTCAACATAAGTGGAAAAGGATGTTGAGATTTTTCTCCACCTTTCCTCCAGTATTAAGGCTGACTTCTTTATTCTGTATCTTTCTCGAAATTGTACAGTTTGTAGTGGCCACACTGGTTGTGCCTCTGTCCTTTAAGAAGTGTATGCACATATGAGTCCCGACTCATAGATGGAGCTGAGTACCCCCATAGCCCATGTATGCATTCATTAAATCTAAACTCACAATCAAGTGTATCAGAGTATAATGAGCTATTTTTAAAAGAGAAACATGTAATGTCTGGCTGAACATGCTGTCCTTCTGCAGAGGATAATTTATAGTCTGTTTTCTTTCTCTTGCTGAACTGCCATACTCTACTTTTGACCTCCTTCTCTTTCTTTTCTAATGGAAATGTGGGGAATTCATACCATTCCCTATTTTCCTAATGATTCTCACAGATAATGATACAATGTGATTCCACTATATATCAATTAAAAATTTTCATTAAACAGCAATCCTGGCACATTTTTATAAACTGCTTCAATTGTTTTTGTTTTAACCTGTGAAACACAAGTCTTCTTGAATCACAATTCCTAATATTTTCCTAGGAACGAGGCCACTTTAAAATCTTAATTAGTTCCATAAGCTTTACAGGCATTATTTTATTTTTATGACATGCCAGTTTAGCCCAAAGTACTTCTGCAGTAATTTTCCTTTGGAATTCTATTTTTTATCTTCGAGGTTAGGCTTTGAGGTTCAAGGGAGAATAGAAACTGTTATATCCATCACATTTAATCAGTCTCTTTTTTTAGTTACTTGAATATTAAAACCAAAAGAAAATCTAAACTGAAATAACACGATCTAAATTCTTTTCTAAACTATACAAACATTTAACTGTAGAATTTACCAAGAACTTTACTGTTGCAAGAATGCTTTTCATTTTGCTACTGTTAGATATTTAGTTTTCAGTAAGAAAGTAGTAGATTATCATCAAGCAGTGTAAAACAACTTTTTTTAATGTCAAAATCGTTAAAATACAAGGTGGGGAGGAAGCCTTTGTGGGGTAAGATGATTTTCTGTCCTTTTCAACATAATTGAGACTGTCTCCTCAAGGTTGTCCCAGTGGGATATTTATACATGTATCAGTTTGACTCTATTAATATACTGTATTGATCTACAATTCATTTAATTGGTGAGAGGATATTAATGGGTTCCATTAGTCCATTTTCTAATTTCCACATGCTCTAAGAACCATACATCTTTATCTACTCATAAGGAGAAGGCAGTTCCCACAAAACAAACTGAAAACAGGACAAAGAAAAATTCTTAGCAAAATTCATTAACACAAATAGGACCCATTCAAATATTCTTAAAATTTCTCCTTGAAAGATATCAATTCCATTTTTCAGAAAGCTTGCCTCAAATATATTATAAATGCAAAATTGTACATGCAAATATGTGCAAAATCTTCCCTGTAACATTAAGAGTTATAAGTTAAGGAAGACCTGGACTCCTTTTGGATCCCCAAACCCCACTGACCACTCTTACTGGTGATCGTTATGTTGATTTCAAGACATGTTTTTGGACAGATAGCTGTGCAGCTAAAACAGAGGCCTGCTTGTCAGGGTTATTGCAAGCAAAAGAAAAAATGTTTGTTCAATCAACAGCACAAGGCCTAGAACCTACCGTAAGTACAGGGGCATGATTATTATGGGGCCACTTTATCATATCAAGTGACATAGACAACAGTGGCAGGAGTTGTAAATGAGTATTTTCTATCACCCTTGAGAGTTTTGTCTCAGCTGTTTATCTTATAGCTATAACAACAATAAGAAACCAAACATAATCTTAAAGAACCCCAGAGCAGAGTTGATGGAATTTTTGGCTGAACAGTGCTTAATCCATCAATGCCAAATAAAATCACTAGGAATTTGTAAGATGAAAGTATTAGCCTTAGAAAATTGGAAGGCAATGACACACAACCTAAACTCTCCAGAGCAGGAATCTAACGCCCAGGGAGGAGGAGGAACTTACTGAAGATTTCAAAGCTGTTGAATTTAACAAGCCAGGAATAAAACTGAAAATTTCTATCACCCAGTCTCATGCTCTTTCCAATATTTTACAATACTTTCACCTTAGTAAACATAAATTTTGGAACCATACTTTTTTGTTTGGCTTTAGTGAATATTGAGTGCCTGCCATGTGTAAAACACTATGCTATGCTTAGAGTTATGGAAGGTGTGAAGATAAACAAGAGCTTGGCCTTCAAAGGCACCTTCAAAGGTGCTTATATACATTTACATCCCATATAACACCTGAGGCTCCATATGGCCCAATCTCTATGTGGTGTAACAATCAAGGAAACAGCAGTATCTACTGGCTCAGAAGAAAACTTAAATGTTGAATATTCCTTAAAGGGGTTTTAGACAGTATGCATATATGTTAGGTGTCTTTCCCCTTTTTCATGTTCCCCACTTATAGCAGGCACTAAATCTGTTCATCTCTGTCTTATCACCCAGCCAGTTCAGCACTTGCACACTCTCCGCTTCATCACTGTCTTCCTTATTGTATGCACTGTTGTCAAAATATAATAAAATGGTCTTCGTACTGACAGCTTTTGGAGGGAGATGAAAATGAGTCTTTCTAAATTCTTCCTAGAATCTAGTGATATGCTCCTTTCTACCTGTAGCAAACAAGTAGGTAAGAAGCGATAAAAAGTCTGAAATTTTGGTTTAGTTAACTAACTCTTCTGTGTGCCCCTGTCAAGGATGCTGTTACTGACCAGTATTCCTCACCATGGCTTTGACTAACAGCTTGATTACAGGTGATCATAGATCTATGACTGAGATTCGAACACCCCTCATACTTTGCTCCCTAAAGCTTTGTGATTATGGGAGCAGAGCGAAGGTCTGTGAGTTGCACGGATACTTAATACTATGTGTGCTCTAATAAAAAACACGGTATTTGAATAACGGTTTACACAAGAATTCCTGTTAAACAAAAAATCGTCGTTTTTGGAAAATTGTTCATGTGCCTGTTTGGATTAGAGCTGTAATTCTACATTCTAAATGCCATCTTTTATGTGTGAAATCAGAGAAAGACTGGTGATTTGGGAGGGCAGAGATGAAACAGAGAGGTGTGTGCAGGTCACTAGAAGATGACCACAGTCCCCTTTACCAGCCACAAATTCCTGGGTCATATTTTGCCTTCCTCCAGCTCATCCCACATTATCTTACCAACAAAATAAGTCATATATGTGGACTATAGACTTTGAGCAGGAAACAATAGCTTCCTCCTTTTCCAAGATCCAGGGACCCTAACCTATAAACTAAGTGAAAAATTGGCATCTGATTTGCTCTCATATGCAGTAAGCACAGCATGCATTTTAGCTCATTTGACCTTTTTGTGTTTATGTGGTCCTGGGGATTGAACCCAGAATGTTTTCACTGAGATTATCTCCAACCCTTTTTTATCTTTCATTTTGCAGGATCATACTAAGTCACTAAATTGCATGGGCTGGGCTCAGCCTTCCTGCCTCTGCCTCCCAGAGTGCTGGGATTATGGGTATATGGTACTACACTGGGCTTATTTGTCTTTTAACATACCAAATCAGCAAGGTGACCAAGATTCTCTTTCCACTCTGTTCTGCCAGATGTATTTGCTGATTTTTCTTATCTACGAACCATTTAAAAAAGTTATCTCTGCATTGTTTTTGTAGTTTTCTCCTAATCCTTGTAATCTTTTTATGAATACTGCTTTATTTTTTTTTCTGGCAGTATTTTTAAGCTCAACTTCTTCATGTTTCTGCTATAGTTAATCTACCATTCCACAGTTTTATCACAAGCAGTCCCATGTTGCTTTCTAAGACTGCAAAAAGATAATAGAGCTCTCTATCATACTTACTGATGCATCTACTTGCTGGGTGAACACTGTAGTGGGAGACATTGTATAATTTCCTTTTGCTCTAGACCTGACAGCCTTCAATAATATTTAGTGAGTTATATTACTGAATGCCTCTGAAACTTACACACTTTAGTCTGTTTTCTATTGCTAATAACACAGGCTAACGTATAAAGAGATGTCCATGGTCCCAATCCAAAATTAAGGGGATCCAGAGTTTGCATGGGGGATCACAGGGTGCAAAGCAAACAGGACACATGAGACCTAGCCAAACTAGCTATTATAGAAGACCCACTCTCAATCTATTAATCTATTAATCCCATGAGTGAATTAATATGTTCATGATGGCAGAGTCCTAGTAAGCTCTTAAAGGGCCTATCTCAAACTACCTTTAATCTTTTGTAATGAGGATTAACTTCAATGTGAGTTCCAGAGAGGAAAATCATATTCAAAACATGACAATATGTTATAAAGTTTACTGAGAAATTAAAGCTGTCTACCAATCCGGATACAGGGAACTAAGAGGGTTAGCCATTATTCTTCAGTTACTATGGGACTTATTTTAAGCATTCATGCTTTGCATGTAGTAACTCATCCAATCTTATCAATAACTATGAAGGTAAATATTATTATTTTATAGCTGTAGAAATGGAGGCACAAAGAAGTAATGTAACTACTTGATGTCCAAGAGATAAGGAACAAAGCGGTTAAAATATTGTGTTTTTCAGTCTCCATAGCCTTTGCTGCCTGCTACCAGACCCTGAGTATCCACACACAGTACAAATACAATACAAATACAGTGCAGTCAATGGAAATGAATGCTAAGAAAAATGAGTTACATTATTCTTTAAGAGTGGAAATGGAGGGCCAGGGATTTAGCTCAGTTGTTCTGACACCTGCTCCACAAGCGCAAGGACCTGAGTTCAATCTCCGGTACAAAAAAAAAAAAAAAAAAAAGTGGAAATGGAGAAAAAGAAGAATGAAGATATATCATGTGCAGGTACAAATTCCATATGATAAGTGTTATTATGTATATCTAAAATTTACCAATAAAATTAATTTTAGAAAAGAAAAAGAGAAACAAAAAATTTTCCAATACAGTTCATCATGTTAATTATTTCTATAATTGTAAAGATTATAAAGTAGCATACTCTGAAGTGTAATTTCAGGCAAATGCAGAATTTGGGGGTGCATAAGTATTAATGTTTTCAGAGTCTGAACATGCATTGGCCATTAAATAGATTTAAAAATGGATATTCTGGGGTATTCTCTATGAGGAGTGTAGAAGGCCTCAGAATGTCAGTCTATCATATTATATTTCTCCCACTTTAAGTTCTCCACCCACAGAGCTAGGAAACTGACTTTATTTTACAGATTACGTGGAAACAACAAAAAGTCTTGTTCTACGAGTTTGTAGATTTGTTAGACTCCAAATTTGATTTCAAGTGATATTCAACTCTACATATCCCATCTGAATATTCAATTGTGATATCAACTGCTTAAATTTGAATCAAATCCCTCCTGGAAATTGACCCAACCAGGGACCTTGAGGTTATATAATTATGTAATCATGATTTTGAAATTTCTACAATTTGTAAATAAGAAGTGGGACTCCCAATGGTATGTTAGTACTTTGGAAGAATACTATATATATATATATCAGCTTTATCTTTTAATGAGCAAAATGTTCATGTTCTTAGAGCCATTCTCTAATTTAGTCCAGGCCTTAAACTTTAGAATTTCAAGATAATTTGTGCTGATATATATATTTTAAATCTGTGATGTCATCAGTTGTGAGATGCATCATGTTTTCTGACAAGAGAAAAGTGTTGCATAAAATATCTTAGATCTGCCATCAGTTACAACACATCCTGATATTCTTGTCTCTAAAAGAATCTTTGCAGTTTAGAATTGATGAATGCAATATTTTTTCTTATTAGTGATTCTCTCAAGTCAAAGAAAAATCCAAAACAATTACTTTTATGTTGTGGATGAACCTTAATTTGATTCATTTTAAGAAAGAAGAAAAGTGGCTGAAGTCAGAGGTATCAAGACATAGCAAGCAATTTATTTAATATGGATGAAACTCTGCTGTGTAGGAAAGAAAGAGGAGAAATGTAAATTGCTGTCAGAAACTTCAGTATATTTAGTACATTATTTTCACTTTGGATAAATGTGTTTTATACTGTGCAAAAATGCAGTGATGTGGATCTGGAAATCCTTAGAGCTATGAAACATTACTAATTACAATAAAATGTAACAGTCTTTACATCAAATAAAAAAATCCAAAGCAATAACTCTTGTAAACTATACATCTATTCCATGGGTAGGCTAGATAACAGTTTTAAACATTTGATTTCTACATTTGGCATGATAATTTTATCTTATTTACTCTATTTAATGGCTGTTGCCTCTAAAAACATATTTATAAATATACTCCACCTCCTAGTACATAAATTATCTTGGGGAAGAAAATTAAGAACTTCCAAAACAACATAAACTTTTGAGGTCACCAAAGTACCATCAAGTAAATTATTGCCCCACAACCCTCAATGGTACCTAGTAGCCTTGAACAGCTTAATGCACCTTTCAAAGTTTCTAATTTACTCTCTGGGAGTAACAGACTAGTGGACAGGCCATAATGATGAATTGCACACTGAGGTGCATTTTCCCAAGGGATTTGGGCACAGTGTTGTCTGAATAAAATTAATGCCTTACATTTATTTCAAACACATGAAGGCAAAGGTCTGCAAATAGTTTCAGAAACCTAAAATGAAACAATTTCATCAGCCTAAATGCAGTAGAAGGACAAGGCAAATTCAGTTTATAAATGGTGATTCTTAGAGATAAAACAGACCAAGGCAACTGGATCAGAAGTATCCTATGTACGCTTAAGAAAGATAACTGAACAAGTAAAACGCAGAATGAAAATCTCATTTCATCAAAAGATAACCACCTCTCTGTTATCCTTGGGTGTTCCAGAAAGATCTTCCTTATAAGAATGTAACTTGCCCAACCTTGTAGGCTCTGTGCCATCTTCCAGGGTCACAACTCAAGGTGGTCATGAATACTCATGTGTGTCTACCAGAGTCTCCACTGTAAAAAAGTGTAAAGTATTTTGCCTTTGAGAACTTTTCCTTTGTTAGCCTCTCTGATCTCAGAGAGATTGCAAAAATGTCTGGTATCCTATTTATTACTGGTTTTCCTTTGGGGAATAAGAAAAGAATCTGGAGTTGTTTCTAAATCCTAGGACCTTGAACTCATATGATCTTTATTTCCAAACAGACTTAAGCAATTAATACTTACAAGCACACTAACTTTTTATCACATTTTTACTTTCACTGGTGAAAGTAAAAAAGTTTATTTCATTTAGCATCATATTTATGGCTAACGTAACTATGTGAAATGCTATTAAATTATATGACTGGTGAGAGAAGATTCCGTGACAAAGAAGATCACGTTAGTATTCACCAAATATTCAGCTTTCTCTCCCTGTGTCCCATCCTGTAGTAGGTGATGTATCCCCATTCTTTTGAGTTCCGGGATGGTCACGGAAGAGGTGACATGTCAGTAGTTTAGTGCAGAAGCTTTCAGATTAGTACTTGCTTCACCATTTCTCTTTTCTTTCCATCAGGAAACTATCAATATCCATTACTGAGGCTCCTCAATCCAGCCGAATCTGGTAGTGAAGTTGATGACGGAACAGGCATCGTTGACACATAAGAGATCCATGGCCTGAATGAGGCATGAATGTGACATGAGTGAATGTTTCTATAATCAATGAGATTTCAGATCTTTAATTTTAAAAAAATCTATCTTTACTGGTAAGAATGCCCTATGCCTGGCAGTTAGAAAACAAATCTAAATTCATATCATAATGTTACTTTCACAATATAAAAATGCCATGAAAAGTAATCGTGCATGATGATGTGTTTAATTTCTGAAGCTGCTTTCTTGGTTGTATTTATTAACAATTGAATTATTGACTACATCTCATTTCTTCTAAGCATATTATTCCCGGTTCTCCCCTATGAAATTCAGAGGAGTGAAATAAGATGTGTGGAATGGTTTAAAGAAATAAGATAAGCTGAGATTTTATCATGATTCCTTTAGGAATACATAAGGTAATAAAACCCCACAGAGCTGTTTTTAATGGCAAATATTCAAATACCAGCTTTTTACTTAAAGCTTGGCTGCTGAAAGTTGGCAAGGCAGGCTTCTATGCAGTGTCTGTGAGCAAAGGTCCCTAACTGACCAGGGAAACTGCCAAGCTGTATCCAAATTTTATTGTTAAAGTGTTGGCAACCAAGGTCTTAATTAGGCTCCCTCAATTCTGCCCGTGGTAGTTCATAAACACAAAAGCCCAGGGCAAACCAGAGACTTTTGTACCTTGGAGGGCTGAGAAATAGGCAGTATAAGTGCAGTTACTCTTTCTCCTTTAACCAAGGCAGACGTGAAGACTACCTAGTATTTTCACGGTAATCCCATATTTGTTTCAAATCACTTTCATGACACACTAGGTGATTCCTATCAATCACATGAAATGAAATTATTTGACATTCTACTCTTAACCCACTGTACTGTTGTTTTGTTGCTGGATGATGAAATTGAGACTCATAGAGGGAGGTAGGAAACTGATTTGAACCCTTTTCTATTTTTGAGGCAACGTGGTCCTTCAGCAAAGGTTAACATTCCCTTGTGACAGAGGACAAAATTGATTCTCCCAGAAGACAGCATGCACAGCCTCACAGTCCTCACTGGTCAGAGATGTGCAACTGCAGCATGATTCTCTTGACTCCTGCTATAGTATATTTTACACTATCACCAAGCTATCATGTTATTCTTTCTCTGAAGAAATTAACAGGCTATGTTAAAAGAATCTTTTTGGGGTCAATGGCAGCCACTCATCTCCCTGTGAACCAGAAAAAACAGACTCATAAATAATAAAACACTATACATAGCAGCCACCTGGCACCTAAATATTAATAGTATGTACATGAAATACTTTTACATAGCCATATTAGAAGCATTGAATAAGTGTCAGGACTTGAAAAATTACCACTTTCGGTCATGGCTGGCTCCTAAATTTTACAGTCTGGTTATTAGAGCACTGATTTTTTTTAAAAGATTCCACTGTCCTGGGTTTCTTCTCTCCAGGGAAAATATTATCTTTTCAGACATTAAAACAATTTGAGGTCCAAAATTTGCAAACTTCTCCAGTACTTAGGAAGTTTGAGCCATGATGTTTTCTTAACAACTTCTATTCTCTTCCTCCAACTGGAAATTTGTGATTTCTTAGCAATCTGGGTAACTCAGGGCAATTCTCTAAGGCACAGGGAAGAACCAGGGATTTTTGGTTGGATGGAGGACTAGTCTTTTACCATCAGTTCACTGATTCAACTATTTCTTCCTTTCTCCAGTATCTTCTTAGAAAGTTAACTGCTTCACCTTTTCTTCTCCTAGATAAATCATACTGTGAATTACTTTGTTGAATTTCTTTCCATTTGTTTTCTATTTAGTTTTATTTCATTGCCTTTAGGTCTCACACATCCCTGTTGCATAGTAAATTCTTATCTGTTTTCAAAATAAATACTCAGTAGAAGAAAGAAATATTAGGGGGAAGGGCAGAGTGAAAAAGAATCTGCCTAATCTTGACTGTATATTTAAGGCTTAGTTAAGAGCTAAATCTTTCATCACATCTCTACTCCCACATCGATATATTATCTGACTTCTGTAAAAACAAAGGCAAACAGATACACTTTTTTTTTGTTGATTTTAATCAAAATGCAGAAATATCATCTGCATTCCCCTGGACCTCAACCAATTTCCAGAACTCTAGATCTGTTTCTAGAACAGTTTGCTGCTTTGTCAGTACGATTTCTGCTAATTTGACTTTATAACATCCAGCATTATTTTCTAGCCTTTCTTTTTCAAACAGAGCCATTGAGGGTGGGAAGAATTCTCCAGAATGTGACAAAACTAGCACAGCAAGAACCTTATAAGACTTTTACTAGCCACAGTATAGAAGTCATGATGGCTAACTTTATGCCACATAGAGTTTTTGTGGCAGGTTTTAGGGTTCTTATTGGTGTCAGTGGGATAATCAAAAGAATGTCGTAATTGTCCATGTTCTTATAGGAGATATGTTGTTTTAAATGTCATTTTAGGACTAGAAAAACAATGTCTGCTCCTGAAAAATATGAAAAATTGCATTTACAATTAGTTGTAATGGATTATACTTTTGAAATAACATTGTCCCGACAATTATTTATTACTGCAATTTATATTTTTCGAAGAAGAAGAAAGTAAAAGTCTGCCTTAATCTGATTGCTAAAATATAACTATTACTAACATGTTAGTTGTTTCCTTCCAACATTTTCCCTGCACATAGTTAGGTAACAATATTCAGAAAATACTGCACATAAGATTTGTTTCACCCTTTCTCACTTGCATGATAATAGCTGTTTCTCCATAGTTAAGAGAATGAATGCCCTTGAAGAGAAAAGAGTTCTTAGTATTTGAGGGAGAGCATGGTGATGAATAAGGGGAATAACATTTCTTAAATTGGGTGGTGAATATAGGATGTAATTCTCTCACAACTCACTGAAGTGTAGACTGATAACTTGTATATTTTTATGTTTTGGATATTGTCCTTCAGTGAAATGTTTATTTTACACAAAATGACAAATTAATTGAAAAATGATTCACATTGACTTCATAACATTCCATTAGGTACTCCTAGCATTGACTAGGCCATTTTCCCATTGTAGTTTATCATTTTGACTCTCATAAATACTACTGCTGTAAATATATTACATATTCATCAATCTCACATTTATGAGAAGTAGAGATCTAGAATTATGGCCCCTTTCCTGAGAAGAAATAGCTAATGATGGTGGAGGGCTAGTAGTGTAAATAAATTTTTAGCAATTGCATGCATTGATGGGATGAATCAATGGAACCCTCCAGCCTTCAGAGTCGTAGCCTGGAATGGAAGATGTGACTGTTAAATTCCAAGTTGAGCTTCATATGGAGCTTGGCATAGGTGGGGTTGATCTTCATTGCAACAAAATTATCGTCTGTTCAATCGATTAAGCATTTTTGAACATCAAGTACAGGGCAGGACTTTCTTGGTCACAGAGATGAAAAAGCTATAGCTTTCTTCTTGTGTAGAAATAATAGTTGAACTTAGAGGAACAAAGGCAGTTAGACAAGATGAAGGCTGCTGGTGAAGAACTGCCCTTTTGTCTGGCTGAGTACCTTATGCTCAGATAACCCAGCGCAGATACTGGTAGTGATTTTCATTTTTTATACCTTCAGAGTTCATTAGGTAAAGTAAAATTGCCTAAAATTCATATCTGCTTTTTGAATGAAGTTATTTTGCTTCAAAAATGCTTGGAGAAGGCAACCCAAAAGGTGTGATTTGGTTGCAAACATGTTTTTTCTTTCATTAGTTTTCACCCAACAGGAATTAGTAGACTTCTTCAACCGTCTGCACTGTCATTTCTTTGTGTTCAACTCTTATTTATTTCTACTGCTGGCAGTCACAGCAGCTTGTTAGCAGAAAAATTACATCATATATTTACTCCTAAAAATTGGCAGTGAATATAGGAACCCGTGGGAGGTGGAGATGGGGCATGGGCCTAGACATATAAATATAGTAAATGAAAATTTTAAATTAAACCCAAAGCTGAATTTCTGGGAGCACATTTCAAGTTTTTGAATACTACATAAACTGCTCCAAAATTGTATTTCATTTGTTAAAGTAAAGTAATAAATAAGTGAAAAGGAGTATTAGAGAATTTAAGTAAAGTTCTATAAAAATACCCATCAGTTACTATAGATTTATTTTTAGGAGATTATGGTTAAATAACTAGAGTCTGCAACAACATAGAAATAAGTTAATGTTTGTCCTTCAATGTGAACTGTTCAAAGCTCACATCATTTTTGCATTTCAATAAAATTCTTGCATCTTGCAGCCATTTAAAGAATTTCTCTATAGAAATGTGAAATCAGGAATGGAAATATGAGGCAATGTTATTACTACAATCAGGAATGAAAGATTTAGTAAGTTCATGTCCAAAAAATAACATTCAAATGACTTTTATAGCACCAAACACAATGCCTTGCTTCTAGTAAGTGCTAAATATGCATTGTAGGAGCAAATAGAGACAAAATGAATACTTCTTAGAATAATATGTACTTTAGAATCCAAGGGACATGGGTTAAAGTCCTGATTCTGTAACTTACAACATAAATGACCTTGGGCAAGTCACTTAAACTCTGATCCTCAGATTTTTCATTTGTAGAATGAGGAAAATAATGTGCAAAATATTACAAAGTAATATCTATATAGTAACAGGCACAGAGTAGAGTTATAAGTAATTGTGACTATTTTTTTACTTAGAAATAATGTAAAAGTCTAGGAACTATGAAAATGTGAGAGACACTTTTATAAAAAACACAAGCAAACCACTTTTTTGGTATCCTCAACATACATGTCAACAAATTTGCCAGTTGTGAATAAGAGGTAAAAATTAGGAAAATACCACAGATGAACAGTTTTGTAATGAAGGCTTTACTGCTATACTGAAGCTTTTGTTGAACAAAAGTTTTTGATTTTGTTTCTCACAATAACTCAATTATGAAGTATAAGCAGTGAAACTTTGATCTTGGTAGGAGGCTCGGACAATAGGCAGGTAAATACCTAAACCACAGCTGCCCTAGGAATCTAAATATTTCACATTTCATCCACCTTCTTGTGAAGCTCCACTGGATCAGGCACTAGAGGCAAGGGTATTGTTTTTTTTTTTTTTTAAGCCCT